GGGTGTGTGTGTGGGTGCGTACTTTGTACCGCCTAGCTTTGCTTCGCATGCATTCCCAAGTGAACCCACCCGTCCTTCTTTTAAACAAGGGCCACCGCCGTCATACTTTACCAAGGGAGGCCCCCCCCCTAGTCACAATCCGTCACACACTTAACCTCACTTGCTTCCCGTCCCATTCTTCCCCATTTTGCGATCTCGAGGTGTTGATCCTTTTCCCAAGTACCACACACACTCAACGACAACCGACCGCAGGAAAGACGTGTGTTGGTGTGGCGTTCGAGCTGCTTTTCCCTCGTGGCTTTTTTTGGGCCCTTTTTCTCTTTTCCCTAAACGGCCTTTTTTGGGGGTTGCTCGACAAGACGGAAAAACCGACGAAACGAACAGGACGGACGACCGAATCCAGTAATTCCTAGAAATTAATAATCAGCATCAACAAAGAATAAAAACGGTCACAACCTATTCGACAACGACGTCAACCACGAGCACCTCACCCAACCTACCGGTTCAGGCCAATAGTGTAAAAAGAGTTAAAGAAAGCAAGCACGAAGAGAAATGCAGATGCAGCGACGATAGCCGAACCAACTCCAACAAATCACCTCTTCCCCTTTCCTCCTTCTTCATCCTAGGAAAGGGCCGGTTTGCCTCCCCGCCGGGTGGTGCGTGTGTTGTGTGTGTGTGTGTGTGTGTGTGTGTGTGTGTGTGTGTGTGTGTGTATGTGTGGGTGTCTCTCACCTCAACCTCGACCTCAACCTCAACCTCACCTCAACCTCAACCTCAACCTCAACCTACCTAGCGACGAACCTATTTTAGACGATTCCGGCGCATCACCATCGCAACCATGCCAGACTTCTCCCCCGTCCTCCCATCAACAACCTCGGCACCCCCCTCCCCGCCACATTCCCTCTCCGCCAAAACCATCACCACCTCCCCAAACCCCCTATTACCGCTCTACAACCTCGCCGCCAACATCCCCATCCCCGCCAAATTCAAAAAAGCCAAACCCTCTCTTCGGTTACAGCGGGTAAAATCCAAAGACGAAGCCGCCTCTCACGATGTAACCAAACTGCAAACATCCTTCGCCATCCTTCCCTCTCTCAAACAGCTCCAAACCCGCAAATGGACCCTCTGGGACCTCCAGCACGTGGTGACGTTTGGGTGTTTGGCCTTTTGTCTGCTCATCACACCATCAGCCCCGTTTCTCAAGAGCGCCGCGATGGGGTTGCTAGCAGTTCTGCTGGCCATGCCAGCGACGAGACAGTTTTTCCTACCGTCGTTGCCGATTTGGGTGTATTTGTTTTATTTCTTTGCCAGCAGGTATGTTAGCGACCGTCATCCGAGAGGATCTTTTCTTTTTTTTTTCTTCTTCGTTGTCTGATGCTGATGATGATGATGAAAAAGGTTCATCGCCCCTGAATACCGCCCCCACATCTGGGTCAAGGTCCTTCCCGCGCTAGAAAACGTCCTCTACGGCGCCAACCTGAGCAACATCCTCTCGGCACACACCTACACCATCTTGGACATCATCGCCTGGATCCCCTACGGCCTCGGCCACTTTGCGCTCCCGTTGGTGACAACGGTGATGCTGTTTTTGTTTGCCGCCCCTGGGACAACGCCCGTCTGGGCGAGGGCGTTTGGGTACATGAGCATCCTCGGCGTGACGATCCAGATCCTCTTTCCTTGCACGCCTCCCTGGTACGAGGGTCTGCACGGCCTCGAGCCGGCGCATTACGGCATGGAGGGCAGCCCGGCTGGGTTGAAGAGGATCGATGAGCTGTTTGGCGTGGACATGTACACGACGAGCTTCACGACCGCCCCGGTGCCGTTTGGCGCGTTTCCTTCCCTGCACGGAGGCGATGCCGTGCTGGAGATGCTGTTTTTGCAGTACTGCTTCCCGAGGTTCAGGGCTTTTTTCGTGGGGTATGTGGTTTGGATTGCGTGGAGCACCATGTATCTGAACCACCACTACGCGATCGACCTTGTCGGAGGAGGGGTGATTGCCGCGGTCACGTATTACATTGCGAGAACGAAGTGGCTTCCGCGCCCGCAGCTGGACAAGACGACGAGGTGGGAGTATGAGTATGTCGAGTTTGGCGACAGGCCGAGGGTGGCGCTCGACGAGGAGTATGGCGGGATGGGGTTGGGACTGCTTCAGCGACGGGGGAGCGACGAATGGACTCTTGGGAGCTCGTCGAGCTTTGACTCGATGAGCAGGGGGGACACCCTCTGCGGGAGCAGCAGCTCTTCGCCGAATATCCTCAGCCCGACGACGCCGAATGATGACCACCATGGGGGGGACCTGTGGAGCAAAGTCCGGACGGCGAGCCCGAGGGCGGTGGGGTTGACTGGGGTTGTGGTTGAGGAGGAGCAGAGGGAGGTGTATGTGAGGTGATCTCTTGAGAACCTAATCGACACATCCATCCTTTTCTCGGCACTTCTTCGACTCGGTTCCGGTTGCTTTTTTTCGATCGCCTTTTTTTTTATACAACACGCTACTACTACTACTACTATCGTTATTATCTGTCGGGGCCAATTCATCAGCATTTTATTGGTTTGGGGTTGGGGGCAAACAAATGGCATTGGCAGGGCATTTCGCAAGCAGTGTGTGTGTGTGTGTGTGCGTGTGTGTGGTTATTTGGTATATACCCCATATCGTTCGCTCGCTTCATTTATATATATGTGTGTGTACTGGAAAGGGGGGAAGTCAGTCTGGATAGACAGTCGTTTCTGTTTATTGGAGAAAGAACAAATCAGACTTTTGGATGGATAGAAGAGCGAGGGAGGAGTGAGGAGGGGGGAGGAGGATATATCCCATATAATGAGAGGTTGTCGAAGAGAAAAGGAAGGGGGGGGGGGGGGGAAATATGCGATCTTTTGGTCTTTTTAATGATAATGGCTTTTTTTATTTTCTTTTTTTTAAATTGGTAGGGGGAAGGGAAAGGGTGCGGTGCATATAATGGATCGGGAGGGAGGGGGGGGGGGGGTTGCATACCTAGTTGGCGAAGGGAGAGAGAAGAGATGGGTGATGATACCTGCGATTTGGATTTTGTCTTCAGAGCGAAGGGGATACTGGGAGGAAGGAAGGGTTTGCGATATCTAGGAGAAGGAGGAGGAGGAGGTGATGATGATGATGATGGTGTTGGTGGTGGTGGTGGTTTTGTATCATATAACGAATATCTCAAAGGAATTTAAATCAAGTCAAACAATTGATTAGAGGAGGGATGGGTGTGTGATGTTGGAAGAGAGGCTCTTTCCCCTCCACCACCGGGACGCCTTTGGAGGGTTTAACCACTCTGGCCGGCCGGGTTCGGGTAGGTAGGCGGCGGCGTGGAAAAAGGGGGTTTCGGTTTCAGCCTCACAGCCTTGTGTCGTTCGTTTTTTTTTCTTTTTTTTCTTCTTTTCTCTTTCTCCCAAGATTGTCACGAGTTGGGTGGGTGTGTCAGATTCGCTTAATCGGCCGGTCCCAGAACGCCACCACTCCGAGGAGTCAGATCCCCCAATCTGTACTTCTTTCCATCATGGGACACAGCGAGGGGAAAGGGGGGGGTTATAAAAGCATGGGAGGTAGGGGTTCGAAGCGGGAACGGAGATTATCTTGTGTGTCAGGTAGACAGACAGACAGGTAGATGCTGTGAGACGGGAGGTAGGTAGGTAGAAAGATGCAACCCTTCGGAGAATGCAACATCAAAGATAGTAAAAACCAAAAAACTCAGAAAAAAGGTGATACCGAACAGAAAACGGGAGATTCTTCTTATGATATATACATGGCAGTCGAAGAGAGAGAGAGAGGGAGAGAAATGTTTTCAGCTCGTGGGGTCAAAGTCACGATGAATAAGGAAAATCGGCCAAATATCTGGCCTAGTTCGGATTTTGTTGTCAAAAGCGAATGGTGTGTGTGTGGTGGTTGGCACCGGGCTGAGGGAAACGGCCGCCAATGCCGTCAACCATCTCTTTAGATATCTTGGATAAATCGTTGGAGAAAAAAAAAAGACGAGTACATTAATCTACAATTCACATTGTCTGCATTCCCATATCTGTCTAAAACCGACTGACTGACTATCTGGGCTCTGTGCCCATTCCCCGAGTCTTACATACAACTGACTGACATATACCTCTCCCAATCAACCCACAAATTTACACCCATCTCACATTACATGCAATGCAAAGAAGAAGAAAGAAAAAAAAGTATGCATATCAAAAAAAGACAATAAACAAACATCCATCCATCCAGACCCATGTATGGAAAAGCACGAAAAAAGGTATCTCAACGCCCCACCCACCAACCCGCCGAACCCTTTATGCCCTGACAAAAAGAAATACTTTTGATGCCTGATGCGAAAAAGAAAACCGAAAACAGAAATTAGCGCGCTCTTGTGTGGTTCACTCGCGATGTAAAGACCCGAGACCAGATACTGGGCAACTTCCCAGCTGTGCAAGACACATGTCAGCCATTAGAACCGCACCTTCGACTTGCTCTTGAGTTTATTCTTCTTCCTATCAGCCTTCTTCTCCTTCTTGTGCTTCTTCTTGAGCAAAGAATCATCACGATTCTTGTCCTTGGCAAAGAGAACCTTGGCTGTGCTATCCTTCACGCCAGAGTCATATTTCTTGAGAATACTCTTCATTGGCGACGAAAGAACTTGCGAGGCAGCACCAACAGACAGTATTCGCGTAGACATGCTCTTCGAGGGCGATGAAGGGATAGTCGAAAGAGGGATACTCGAGGAGACTTCGTCCGGGGGCTCCTGCTTGATCATGTTTTTCAAAGGTGAGGGGGGTGGGGGCATAGACATGCTGCGGGCGCGGCCCGGGTAAGGGGTCGACTTGCCGGGAACATGCACCCGGGTGAGCGACGTAGAATTGCTAGCAGGACTGCTGCTCGGAACCGTGTATGTGGGCAATGTGAATGCAGAGGGCGGCAAAGAAGCCTCGCGCTTCTTGCGTTCCGACATGGACTGGTAATCGTCGGACTTGACCACGGCTCGCGGAGGTGAAGAGCCCACCTAGGCGCTCTTTCCGGCGGGAACAGGAGGCGGAATCGGCGTCACCTTACTTGCAGTCTTCTTAGCCTTGTTGTCCTTACCATCAGACTTTGTGGCAGAGGAGGCGACGGGGGTAGCAGCCACGTTGTGCCCGGGGATGGGGGGAGGAGCAATAGGGGTCTCCTTGATGGGCTTAACAACGGGGGCACTGACTGCTGGGGTGCTGGCACCAACACGAGACTTCCTCGCCTTCTTGCTGGGCGTGGCAGCTGTCTCCTCTCCACCGAGCTTGCGCTTCTTAGCGGCCGCCTTGCTGGTGGCAGCAGCGGGGGCAGCGGGGGCAGCGGGGGCGGCATCGCCCATCTCGACGTCTTCGTGCTCGGACTCGTCACCCATGACGGTGAGACCGTTGTTGGTGGCGCCGAACGGTGTGTAGCGAACCTTGAGCCCCTTAGGCTGGGGTCTAGGCGGCACGGGCGGGGCAGGCACAACGGTCTCCTGGCCGATGTGAGTCTTGCGCTTGATGTGGAGGAACTGCCCGATGGGCTGGTCGGCTAGAAACCGTCAGCAAACCCTCTGCTCACCAAGAGAAAGAAAGCTTCACTCACCACTCTCATACTTCTTGCCATCCTTGCCGGGAATCAGGATCTTAACCGAGTGGCTCAGCTGCTCGAGTTCACCGCCGTAATCCACGCCCTCGTGGGTAAAGAGTGGCTGGCCAGAGATGAGCTTGTCCGTAGAGATCTTGTACTTCCTGATGACGTCGATGCCAATAGACTTGGGGGTGGTGAAGCACCAAAGCTGCTTGCCCTCGGCCTTTGCATTCGCAAGCATCTTGGCAACGCTGGCAGCATCGAGATCGGGGTCCGAAGCTTTCCGCAGATCGAAGCGTTGCTGAATGAGCTCAGCAGGGCGACTAGTCACTTGTTAGCAAGGTTCCCTCATCAAGCACAGGATGATTCTCACGATGACTTGACGGCTGCTGCGTTTTGGGCCTCCGGCTCAGGCTCCGACTCGGACTCAGTTATTCAGACTCGCCGACGGTCTCCTTGCTCTTCGCTTTGCTTTTAACGCCTTGTCCTTCGAAGCAGCTAGGAGACTTGGCTGTCGACGACTTGGCAACTGGAGCAGGTTTGGCTTTGCGGAACAGGCTTCTCAGCTTGCGCTCTCAGCTGCTCACTCTCACTCTCCGACTCGCTCTCCGACCCGCTCTCCGACTCGCTCTCCGACTCGGCCTCTTTGGCTTTCTCATTGACCTTGGTGCCGTTGACCTTGGCGCCGGCGGCAGGAGCATCCTCATCACTCGACTCCTCCGACTCACTGGACTCGGACTCGGACTCGGAATCGGAAGCAGCAGGAGCGGCCGCCTTCTTAGTGCTCTTGGCCGGAGCGTCCTTCATCTCGACATCGCCATCGTCGCTGTCGCTCTCGCTCTCGCTTTCGGAGTCGCTCTCACTGGAGCTCGAATCTGAGGCTTCGACATCCTTCTTGGTCTTGGTCTCGGTCTCGGAAGCAGGCTTCGTGCCGTTGGTGGTAGGCTTAGCAGCCTCCTTCTCTTTCTTCAAGTTCAGCTTATCGGCCCAGTCGTCATTGTTGTCGTCGGCCTCATCGTCGGTAGAAGTGGAGGTGCTGTCGGTGTCACTGTCGCTCTGACTCTCGCTCTCGGACTCTTCCTTCTTCACAGGCTTGGGCAGCGCCTTCTGGCTCAAGGCATTACGGAGGCCAGCAGCTTTGGCGATATGCTGGGACAAGGTAGCAGAGGGCGCTTTGGGCCCCGCCATTGCGACTGTTTTGTGAGTTCAGTAAAGTAGAGGGTGGGTAGTAGAAGTTAGCGGTGGCTGGAGGTGAGCAAAAGATGGTGCGATTCAAAGGGAGGTTGTTGGTGGTTGATTGTTGATTTTTTGATTTTTTTTGGAAGCTGTCGAGTCGAGTCGCTCCAAAAATTCACGATGCGCTTCAGGAAAAGCGAAAAGTTGCTAATCCCTGCAAAAAAAAAGCGCGACGGGTTGTGGAGAGGTGGGGGCAGTTGATTGAGCGTGCTGATTGGCTAACCTTTCACTGCCGCCCTGGGAGAGCCTCTGAATAATCGTGGTGAAAGATTTTGTGAGAGGAAGATGGGACACTTGGAATTGAAAAGGCGCAGAGTTATTTACTTATTTATTTATCTAATTTCATAAAATAAAAAAAACTAAAAATAAAAAATTAAATAGAAAAATCATATAAAAAATAAAAATAAAAATTATAAAAATCCATAGCTCTTATTAAGATTCTAGGCGCCCACCGCAGAAGGAACGCCCTGAAAGCCCACAGAAAGCAGGTACTGCCCGCACGCACCTCCGTTTGCAAGTCAAACGTTCAGGTGGGGCGCTCGAGTCCCTCTGTCTCGAAGCTTGAGACGCCATTCCATTTCTTCAACGAAGTGAGCGAGTCCAGATCTTAGTGTCAAACTTATGCAAGAGACTTCATAGTAAAGAAACTGGACCCCAGTTTCTCAGGATCACTAGAGCATCCCAGTCAGCGTTTTGGACCAAGATCATTGTGGTCGTTGAACTCTTTTACCCAACCACCTACAGTGACAATGGTGATGAACAATAAGAGAAGGAAACTCGAGGGCGTTGACGTCCCTCCCAAGGCCCCTGCCTCTCCTGCTACACCTGGTATGAATGAATAAAGAGCCCCGTAGTCATAGTATACATAGGCTAACACTGTCCAAGTAATGAGCGCGTTTGCTGCCCGGCAACAGCTCTGGGGAGCCCCATCGCCAGTCGCAAAAACGCCTGTGAATGAAAATCCAACACCTGCCCCAAAAGATTCCACGCCTGTAAAAACAATACCTACTCGTCGAAATAAACGCGGGGCTGCCAAGGAGCAGGTTTCTACGCCTGTCAACGAAGACCCAACACCCGACCTCAACCGTGAAAGGGGTGATTCAATTCCTCCATCGCCTATTCTTTCCCCAGTGTACGCACGACACATACGCCTCGGGTTCCATAGACATTCTGAGCTGTGCTAACTGTTGGCATAGTCTTGGAACACTTATAACCCCAGTAGTCAGAGAGAGACAGCCTCAATACTCGTCCTTGAAGCCACACAAGAAGAACTATCAACAGAAGCCAGATGGTTGCGTGACGCTAAGAACGCCTGATGGAGAGCGGTTGGTGATACTGGGAAGCTATGGCATCAGAGTCCATCAAGGCGAGGCCACCATCGCCGGTGCTCAGTTGACACCACTGGATCCAGTCCAATGGGTACACGCTCCGCACTGCCATGCTCTTCCAGTCCTCCGTACTTCTGAAGACACCGTGGTTGAGCTGCATCCCCATCCCGCAGCTGATGGGTTGCGCCAGTTGGCAAAACTGAACCCTGCCTTTGGAAAACTCTGGAACGAGGTTCCCACCCAAGGGGTGCCATCCAGGAAAGACTCGACATTTCAAATTGTTTGTCTGCTCCATTCTCGACTGTTACGGAATTGTTCATGCTAACCCTCGAATAGTTGTTCTCCCCAGAAGACGTCCCCAAAAAGGTCGCCCTCCAAGAGCTCGTCTCCCCGCCAGAATGGAACAAGAAACTCGCCTCCCTGATCGCAACAAAGCGAAAAGGGGCCTCATCCCCCATCTTCTTCCTCTGCGGCCCCAAATCATCCGGGAAATCCACCTTTGGGAAACTCCTCGCCAACCGTCTAATCACCGACCGAGCCGGCAACAAAAACGCTCCTTGGTCACCCATCTATATCTTAGACATCGACCCAGGGCAACCCGAATTCGGCCCCCCCGGCGTGATCTCCCTCGTCAAACTCACCTCCCCCAACCTCCAACCCCCCTTCTGCCACCCAACCCTCGAACCAGTCACCTCGATGATCCGCTCCCACGCCATCGCCGCAGTAACCCCCGCCCTCGACCCAGAGCACTTCATCGAGTGCGTCATGGACCTCTTTACGACCTACCAAACCCAGACCCATCCCGGAGAAGAGAAGAAACCACCAATGGTAGTCAACACCCCAGGCTGGATCCAAGGTCTCGGGTTGGACATTTTGTCTGATCTCGTCAAGGGAATCAAACCGACAGAGGTGGTGTACATGTCGACCGAAGGACCAGAGGAAACCATTTCTGGTCTTCAAGCCGCCATCTCTTTTATTCCCACCACCGCATTCAGCACCCTCCCCTCGCAAAACACAACCGAAATCCTCTCCCCCTCCCGGATCCCGTCGTCTCTCCGTACGATGCAGGCAATGTCTTATTTTCATCTTTTGCCGTCGTTGTCAACTTGGAATTCAACACCGCTGTCACATGTTCCCCCTTGGAGGGTGAGGTATACGGGTCCTGACAGGGGTTTCAGGGGTATCCTCTGCTACGACTACCAACCTTCACCGAGAATCTTGGCAGAGGCAATCAACGGGATGGTTTTGGCGCTTGTGAAAATTTCCAACTTGGCCGCGTTAAGGGGATTAGACAACATAATCGAGGCTGGGAGTGGGAAGATACCGTTGATAGACAACCCTATGGGGAAGAGCCTCGATCCGAAGTTTTCGGAGCTGGTTGGGTTGGTGCTTGTGAGGGGGGTGGATGAGTGGAGGGGGGAGCTGCAGTTGCTCACGCCGGTTGGGATGGGAGGTGTGGAGAAGGGAGAGGGGAGGTTGGTGTTGGTGATGGGGAAGTTTGATACGCCCAGTTGGTGTTACAGTGAGGGGTTGTACTTGAGGGATCATGATCAGTGGAAGGGGTAAGCACAGGGTGAGAGCGATGTGTAGGTCTTTTTTGGGGTGGGGAGGAAATGGAGGTTCCGTGGATTCAGAGGTTGCATGGGAGCCAGAACAGGGGGGCGGGGGGGAAGGTTTGGAGGGTTAGGAGGGATTTGGGGAGGAGTTAGATGGTGGAGGGGGGATGGGGTTTGTTGCGGTGATGATGGTTTGGGATATAAGGGGTATTTTTTGGTTATCGGGTTGTATTTCATCTAACTTGCTGGGACCTTCAGCCTCCACCAATGACACCGACATCGTTTACACCCCCATGTGCCCTCTTGGTTGGACCGATCATGCTTGACACCTACTACCGCCCATCCGTCTCATGGAAACGGACAGACAGGAATCGAACATGAAACGTTCCAGTCAACCATAAAAACTAGATTCGAACTCACATCACTGATAAGCAAAGACTGCTGTGCTAATTACACCAGTTGGGGTCAATTTTGTGCGAAGCTTCTTACGGGAGGGGGTGTTGGCAATGGGATTTATGGATGGAGCGGAGAGGTGGCGTTTTGATTGTGGGAGGTTTGTTGTGGTGAGGGACGTTGTCTGTGTCTTGCAGAAGGGAGCATGACACTGATAGAAACACATGGACAGAGATCACATAGCTGAAGAAAGAGGCAGGCTCAGAAAACATGGCCATGTCCCATCCATATACACCTCTACACAAAAAACCCACCATGAATACTACATCACTCAAACAAAACCTAAAAGTCCAGGCCCCCCTCCTCCTCCCTCTCCCTCTTCACCCTCACAAACTCCCTCTCCTCCCTCAACAGCCCATGCACAAACCCCCTGAACTGATCAGTATAAGGCTTGATACTCGTCCTCTCCCACTCGGCCCCCCTTCTGTCTTCATCATCCCCCTCCTTCTTCACCACCCCACCCGCCGCATCAATCTCATTCACCAACCCCCCAATCGTCGGCACCCCCAACGGATCAAACCCGTCCAGATCATCCGTATCAATCGGCACACAAACCCTCCCGGTCCCAGGGTGCACCACAAACGGACTCTTCAACAAATGCGTCTTTTGCTCCGTAACCAAAATATCCAGCCGTGGATACGTATACTCCAGCACGATATCCTGCTTCGCCTCCAACAAATCCTTCGTATTCACACTCCCCATCGTCTTGGCCACCGAATCAATATCCCCCCACTTGACCACCGACGACCGCCCCGGATTAGCCTCCCACTTCTCCTTCAACGCCACCCTCAGCTTAACATCAGGAAGCAACATCAACAGCTTCTCCGCCCTATCCTCCTCCCTCCACGGGTCCTGCCCCTCAAGCACATCCGTCAAAAAGTGCTCCTTGAGAATCCCCAAACTTCTCGCCAGATGCGGATGCAAAGGCCTCCTGACATTAACCCTCTTCCCCGTCTTCTCCCCCCCCTTGACCACCGAGAAGTAATTCCCAATCGCCTTCCTCTTGTGATCATCCAACCCCCTCGCCTTGCGGTCACAGACCCAAGCGTGCGCACCTCTCCTCCCGCTGTACACCCACATGACATGCTCATACCCAAAGTCCTCTTTCAGCGCCACCCCCAGCACCTTGATCGCCATGGTGATGAACCGCCAGCACTTCCCACAAATGTTCGCCTTATCGCAGCACGTCCGAACATCGTCGTAGTCCGTCAGATCGATGTCAAAGCAGAGCTCCTTCGCCACTGGCTTGAAGGCGCTCGAGTTGCGAAACGTCTTTCGATCGCGGGGGTTGGCCGTGTAGATGGGGCCGATCTCGATGCGCTCGGGGAGGTGCTTGAAGACATCTTTGCGGAGGAGGTCGAGGGTGGCGTAGGATTGGAAGCGGAAGACGACACCCCCGGAAAGCCAGAGGGAGAACTCGCGGTGTTTGAAATCGGGGGTGGGGGTGGGGGAGTGGTTGAGCCATTGGAAGTAGTGGCGCCAGGGGAAGAGGAGCTGGTAGAAGGCGCGGAGGAGGTCGGGGTTGGAACCACCGCCGGAGGGGGCGGCTGGGCTGGATAAAAGTGTTAGTGTTGTGATGGTGGGGGGGGGGGGAAAGAGGAGGGGAGACATACCCTGGAGATGAAGGCGGTACTTGGCCTGTGACGAGATCTTTGTTGGTGTGGTTGTTCTTGCCAGAGAACTCATCGTCTGAATCGGAATCCATCCCGTCGAACAGATCCTCGAGTTTGATGTCGGATTTGGTTTCCTGCTTGATTTCGACGGGGGCGTCTTCTTCTTCTGGGGCGCTGGAGGGTGGTGGTTGTTGCTCGACGGCGGCGGGGGGGACTACGGGTGGGGATTCAACTTCGTCGACGCCGGCCATGAGGAGGTCCTCGTCTGTTAGGCCGCCGTTGCCTAGGTTGAGGGTGGTGTCTTCCATTGTCGGAGTGAGCTCAGTTCGAGCTGGGGGGTCCTGTTGTTCGGGTGTTGATTCTGAATGAGGCATTGTTTTGTTTTGTGGTGCTTGAAAGACTTTATTGTCTGTCAGTTTAGTATAAGAGCCGTTGTTGGATTGGCACAGAGAGACTTGATGGTGATGCTGAATGTTGTCTGTTGGGGGAGGGACCCTGGTGGCATTGAATTTTGGACAGGACGCGTCGAGCGAATCTCAGAGCGCGTCGCGCGTAAAGTGGCCCCCACTTGTATCGCTGGGATGGTAGGACCATAACACTAACCCCACCACTTACATGAGAGCGGCAGCTTTCGGGACCGCATCATAGACGCATACGCAAAGATGGATCTCAGGGTTGTCTCTGACAGGGCTGGAACCAGGAAAGATGGACGCCCCGATGATACATACATGCCCGCGCTGCCTTCTGATGAAAGGAGAGAATTGTCTCTTGTTTTTCTTCACGATCCGAATAAGAGCTGCAGTTTTGATCTCATATCCAATCATTGCTCCTGCTGGTTGCCACTTGCGTCTTCAAATGATGGCCGGCCCAAGCGTCCGGCTCGCCTGGTCACCCTTGTCTCGCCCACGTCATTCACTGCGCCCAGGCGTGGAACAAGGGGCAGGCGCTCACTCAACAACGAACGACCACTGCCCTAACTCCCAAACTGAACAAGCCCACCGTTATCCGTAACCTTCTGCTGCCTTCGGCCCTCGAGATTTAAAAAAGCAAAAATGACCGGCGCCGGCTTTCGATTGATTGTCGAAAACGGCAAGTTTCGAGACGCCCACGGCCGCCAGGTCACCCTCCGAGGCATCAACGTCGCCGGCGATGCCAAGTACCCCAGCATACCCGACCAGCCTTCCCACATGGCCGAGAACTTCTTCGACGGCGACAGTGTCAGGTTCACAGGACGACCGTTCCCCAAAGAAGAAGCCCATCTCCACTTCTCGAGGCTAAAACGCTGCGGTTACAACACCATCCGCTATGTCTTTACCTGGGAGGCCATCGAAGCCGCCGGGCCGGGTATCTACGACGAGGAGTGGATTGATAACACGATCGGTGTCTTGCGCGCTGCGAGAGACTATGGATTTTACATTTTCATGGATCCTCATCAGGATGTGGTGCGTATTTTGTTGTTCTTGTCTGGCTGCGGCAGAGTGCCTTGTGTCTGATGCTATCCGTGCTCGTTACAGTGGTCGCGATTCTCGGGCGGATCTGGGGCGCCCATGTGGACGTTGTACGCTGCCGGTCTGAACCCACAGAGCTTTGCTGCGACGGAAGCTGCTATTGTACACAATGTCTATCCGGAACCCGAGAAATTCCCAAAGATGATTTGGTCAACCAATTACTACCGCCTTGCTGCGGCTACCATGTTCACCTTCTTCTTTGCCGGCAAGACGTTTGCGCCGAAATGCATCATTGATGGGATGAACATCCAGGACTACCTGCAAGGGCACTTCATCCGTGCCTGTGAGCATTTGGCCAAGAGGATACACGAGGCTGGTGACATTGAGAACGATGTCGTCTTTGGGTGGGAGAGCTTGAACGAGCCAAACAAGGGCATGATCGGGTATGAAGACATCAGTGTGATTCCGAAAGAGCAGAATTTGAAGAAGGGCACGTGTCCGACGATATGGCAGACCATTCTGACCGGGTCAGGGCGGGCTGTCGAGGTTGAGACGTGGGATATGGGTCAGATTGGGCCCTACAAAGTAGGGCGGACGTTGGTGGATCCCCATGGCGAGGTTGCGTGGTTGCCGGCCGACTACGACGAGTCCCGTTATGGGTACAAGAGAGATCCCGGGTGGAAGCTGGGCGAGTGCATCTGGGCTCAGCATGGGGTATGGGACCCGGCTACCGATACGCTGCTCAAGAAGAACTACTTTGGGATACACCCGACGACGGGGGAGCATATTGACTATCCTTATTTCACCAACAACTTCTTCATGGAGTACTTCCGGGCATACCGGGATGCTATTCGAAGTCACCACAAGAACGCCGTTATCCTTCTGCAAGGCCCGACGATGGAGCTCCCGCCAAAGATCAAGGGGACTCCGGATGGCGATGACCCTCTTCTCGTTTATGCCCCGCATTGGTATGACGGCATCACTCTGATGACCAAGAAATGGAATCGGTACTGGAATATCGATGTAATAGGTGTCTTGCGCGGGAAGTACTGGACGCCGGCTTCGGGTCTACGGTTCGGTGAGACGGCTATCCGAAAGTGTTTTGCGGAACAACACGCAACCATGAGGCAAGAGGGCTTGGACTACATCGGGAACGTGCCTTGTGTCATGACCGAGTTTGGTATCCCATACGACATGGACGACCAGAAGGCGTACAAGACGGGGGATTACGCCAGCCAGTCGGCTGCCATGGACGCCAACCACTTCGCCGTGGAGTCTTCCGGTCTGGAGGGTTACACGCTGTGGCTCTACATGACCAAGAATGTGCACGAAAGAGGAGATCAATGGAATGGTGAAGATCTTTCCATCTTTTCGATAGACGACAAGCTGCTTCCTGTCTCGCCGATACCCCGATCACCCTCGACATCGAGCCTCCTCAAACCCGGCGACGGCAGCCAGCGCAAAGAAGTTGATGATGACGGCAGTGTCACGCCAGCTAACCTCAGGCGGTCCATCACCAACCCGTCCATCTCGAGTGAGGTGACCAGTCGGCAGCCCGAGCTCACTGTCGCTCCTGGGTACCGAGCTGCCGAAGCCTACGTGCGACCGGCACCTGTCGTTACGGTCGGGACTATCAAGAATTACTTTTTCGATCTCAAGCAGTGCCAGTTCAACATGACCATCATCGCCCATAAAGCAGCCGAAACAGACACGCCGACGATCATTCTCCTTCCTGATTACCATTTTCCAAAGGATGAGTGCATTGTGGAGGTGAGCTCGGGGAAGTGGGAGATCAGCAGTGATGAGGAGGAGTCTATTATGCTGCAGAGGTTGAGGTGGTGGCATGGGAAGGGAGAGCAGGTGTTGAAGATTACGGGGGTGGTCAAGAAGCATAACATTGGGGAGGGGGAGGGGGGGTATTATGATCAGCTGAGTAATGCTGTGGATTTTGTGGGGAGTTGCTCGGTGATGTAAATGTGAATGATGGATTAAGAGGATGGGGCACACTCTTTTTTTTTTTTTTTTTTTTTTTTTTTTTTTTTTTTTTTTTGAAGGGGGTCTGGGGGGGTTGAAAGGGTCGCAGCAAGTACATATACATATAATTCTTGAGGTTTGATAGAGAGGATCAGCGATACCTTTTACATTTTATTTTGGTAACATAGCACGTTTGGTAAGTAAGGGAGTATATATAATGAGGGATGAGTAAATGCGCCTCTACGAATTGGGAGTTTCTGGATCGTTCCTGTTGGGTGTATCATGATGACTGGGGATACTTGACACCCCGACTCTTTGAGGTACCTTACCAAAACCTCGGACAGGTGATATCATGTTTGGGTGCCCGGCTGGACGGGATCATGCCCATTCCCACAGAAAACGGTGGTGGTGCAGCTAGGGGCAGTGGTGAAAACGGCGTGAAACTCTTATCTACTTAACGGCTGCCTTGTAGACGGTGGTAAACCAAGTCCAGATATCAATGCATCTCATGGGGAAGCGCCCTGAGAGTGCCCTAATCCCTGAACTGCAGGAGGGTGGTGTCCCGTGCTGCACAGCCAATACCCCACTCCCACCACCCCCGTTCGCCCAAGATTGGGCCCCGCTTCATCATCCCATTCGTCCACCCACCGTGGACCTCTGCTCCTCCTGCCTTGTGAATTGCTGTCCAACAATCCCGAAGCGCTTCTGCCCATCGCACATTCTAATAAACGACAAAGAGAGAGGAGAAGCGGGACACAGCCGCGCTGCCGCCCTGGCCTGGCCTGGTCCTTCTTCCTTTCTCTTTTCTCCACCCCGTCGTCGTCGTTGTCGCAAATCACCATCTCCACAGGTGCTCCTTACCGACCTTGGATGCGCCGAGGATCTGATCAGGATCACAAGTGATCGATTACCTGCTACCTACCTACCTACGCCGCATCTTTTCTCTCTCTCTCTCTCTCGTGTGCCACCGGCTTGTGACGACAACGAGGCTTCGAACGTCGACCGCTGATACCACCGTCGATTGCCTACCTGCCGTCCTACCAAAAGTTACCCACATAAAATCTCTCCGCGCTCCTGTCTTTCGTTTGGTCCAGACGTGATTGGGTTCCTCGAACAAACCAGGCAACTTTTTTGACAACCTCTTTATTATACACATCATCTCTCGTGATCTCTTCTTCTGCCCAAAACTCTCTTTGCTCATATAGTGCGCCCACCTCTATATCTCGAAAGCGGGAGCGTATCTCCCCTACCCTCCGCTCCCCGAAGTGTGTTGGGCAAAACAAAACCAACATCGATTTTACACTCCCAGAGTTTCTGTAGCTATAAAACGAAAAAGAGGAAGACAAAATGTACAACCCTCCCGGACAAAGGGACGCAACCCGCCCCTTCCACGTCCCGCCACCTCCTCCGCCCATGTCCCCTCCACCGCCAACCGTCGGGATCAACAACCCCATGATGACAATCCCCCCTCCTCCCCCTCGCCATCCAAACGCCCCCTCAACAACCGGCAACGTCCTCCTCCCCCCTCCCCCCTCGGGCCCCCCACCAAACAGCGGGTTTCCAAACAGTGCGATTGCCCCCCCGAGTGCGCTGGGATCAACCGCGCCGTGGCATGGGGCATGGGGAAGGGCATACGACGGGAGAACAGCGTTCAACATCCCGCCTCCTCCACCGGGTGGTGGTGCTGGCGGTGGTGGTGGGGGGGGGAGTGGTGGTGTGCTGAGGGCTTACGATCCAAAGTATCACGCTCAGGTTCTTGCGGCTGCGAATAACGGGGCGACGTACACTGTCCCGCCTCCTCCACCTCCGCAACAGCAACAGCAACAGCAGCAACAGCAACAGCAACAACAACAGCAACAACAACAGCAACAGCAACAGCAACAGCAACAACAACAACAACAACAACAACAACAACAACAACAACAACAACAACAACAACAACAACAACAACAACAACAACAACAACAACAACAACAACAACAGCAACAAAGTGATCAGATGGGGGCGCTGACAAGTGCGACGTATATTCCGCAGGGGGATACATATGGTGAAGGGGTGGGTATACCCGGGCTGGGGCTGGAGGATAGCGCTATAGGGTGGAACATGGGTGCACATTTGGAGTCTGCCACGGCGACGCCGCTGGATGAGAGCTCGGGGAGGGATAGGTTGTACGCGAATGCTATGGCGCAGCGGGGGTCGTCGACGACGAGCAATGCTACTGTCTCTTCGGTTTCTGTCCCACCTGAGCTGGCGGCGCAGTGGCCGATGGAGAAGGTGCTGGGGTGGTTGCAGGCGAATAGCTTTTCGAGTCACTGGCAGGAGACGTTCAAGTATCTTGGGCTGGACGGGGCGAGGTTTTTGGAGTTGGGGAGCAGTCATGGGGGGAGGGGGAATTTTGGGATGATGCATCAGCAGGTTTATCCGCGGTTGCTGGCGCTGAGCGGGCCGGAATGGAACCAGGCGAGGGAGAGGGAGGAGGGGAAGAGGATGAGGAGGTTGGTGAGGAGTATTGTTACGGGGAGGCCGGTGGAGGTGAAGGGGGGGAGGTTAGGCGGGGGACAGCAGCAGCCGCAGCATGCGAGGCAGAATTCGACAAGCGCCCCGCCCGCGGTGACGGGGGGTCAGACGGGGAACAGGTCGGCCGAGAGCCCTAATGTGAGTGTGGATGATGGGTTTTGGGATACGGGAGTGACAGATGCTGATGATGGTGACAAACAGACGCCCAATCCGATCAAGATCCCAGAGTTTGGGTTTAGCAGGAGGTTCTCCCAGTCTCGCGCCACGACGATGCCTACGCTCAGCAGCACCATGCCGACGGATCACAGAAACATGATGAAAGAAATCGACACCAGCCGCCGCCACAGCCCGACGTTGAGTGAGTCAGGCGAGGCGGGTGGCACATTCCGTGGTGGTTCGACCCCGTTGGGCGGAGGCGGCGGCGGCGGCGGCGGCGGCGGCAGGGACAGCCCGAGTGCTGGAAGCCCGAATCCCGCCTCGGGTCTTTTCCCGTCCTCCACTGCCGGAAATCTCTCAGCGTCTCCACACAGCAGCAGGTTCGGCCACCGATCGCGAAACAGCACCGACTCTGTCTCGTCCAGTGCAGCAATCTACGGCAGCGGTGTACCTGCCGACGCGGCCGCCATGTTGAAGAGCGGTATGAATATCGCAGATGTGGTGAATGCCGCCCGGAATGCGAATGACAGGCGGCATGCCCAGGATGGGGGGAGGCCGTCTCCGCAGGAGTCTGGTGGCGGGGATAGGAGTGCGGGGGAGCCGCCTGGGAGCGCAAAGGGGAGTGGTTCGTTCTTGTCGATTTTTACGAGGAAGAAGCACGGGAGGAAGGATGATGGGTTTGGGGGGGATGAGGATTCGCCGACGAGTCCGGGGTTGAGTTTTAAGCCGCAGAGCTTGGGGGATAACAGGCCGGGGAGCAGTGCGGGCACGTACGGGCATCATCATGCGGGCAATGTGAGGGCGAATCGGGGCGGGCCGAGGGTGTTCATTCTTGCCACGGCTGATTGTTGGAATTATCGGATGCTGGATGTGACGGATATCGAGACGGCATCGGATTTGAGGCAGTTGATCTGCATCAACTTGGGGCTGCCCGAGAGCGAGGGGGCTCACCTCTACCCCACCGAGCTGGGCAAGTTTGAGCATGATGGGGAGGCTCTTGATGATTCGAAGCTGCTGGCCATCAAGACGCAGAGGGCTGATGCGATTGGAACGCTGAAGCTGTTTGTCCGTGTGGGTGGACCGCCACAGATGCGCCAGACGGGCGCCCAGATCGCCATGGACGAGGAGACTTATGTCAAGCTGAACGGAAGGATGCGGTCTAGTTCGTCGCCGCCGACCTCGAGGCAGAACACGCTGACGGGCAAGGAGGGAGAGGACAAGATGCTGACTGCAGAAGCGATCGAGTACCGGACCGAGCAGCTGAGGAAACAAAAAGAGTATCTTGCCAAACGTAAGCAGGTCGCTGAAAACAATCACGTTGCTGACAGGAGCCCCTCGTCTTCCATTGTTGGCAGAACCGTCGATTTCGACCAGCCTCGGCACTCGCCCTTTGAGGACCGAAAGATGGACACTTTGCTGCCCCAGCGCAAGCCGCCGGCGCCCCCTAGCGACCCCTCGGCCACGCTGATCAAGGCGAACTCGTTGAAGAAGACGGGCCACGGCCTGCGCCTGTCGGGCGACAGCGGGTACCACCCCAAGCGGAAGACGTCGTCTGACTTGCGCAGCAGCGGCGACGTCGTGTTTGAGAAGCAGAAGCGATGGGGTCCCGTAGCCGACCCGTCGGCGGGCATCGGGGCGCTGCTAGTGGGCATGAGCGACGGCATGGCCAGCATAGCGCGGCCCCGGCCAGGGGGTGGCATGATGCAACAACGACAGCCGTCGCCGCACCGGGTGGCCACGGAACCTATTACGTCCCAGGAGCTTCAAAGAGGTAAGAAGGCCATGTCAACTGTCAACTTTGGACCAGCGCACCAGCGAGAGAGATCTGGTTCTGGCGGAGGAAGTCCGAGACCGGGAGGGATGCCGGGCTCGCCGGGCTCTTACACATGGAGCTCGAAGAACGTGCCCTTCCTTGTTCCGGACTACTCTCCCAACGGGACACCTGCTCCTCCCACGGCGTCGCGGATGCCGGATGGTGGTGGGAATAGTGGTGATGGATGCCTGGACCAGAATCACAACCACCAAGCTCAAAATGGAACAATTGCTAAGATGCGTAATGTAGCGCGCGCCCCGTCGCCCGGGAACGTCAGCCCAAGCTCCCGACGGCGGCCGAGTGATTCCTTCAGCAGCCAGGCGGCTGTAGCCAAGAAGCGGAAATCACACGGTCCGGATACCGATTTCACGGACAACGATGTGACCTTCTCGGCGAGCTCGACGCGGGCGAGTAAGAAGGTGGACGACTCGGACTCGGATGATGATTCGGATGATGGGCTGTTTGCCATTCCCATCGCGGCGAGGAACTCCGGTCCGGACAAGGGCAAGACGACAGCGCCAGCCGAAGGGAACAGCGGCGATTCGGATGGTGCTTCCGGCACCGGCACCGGGAAACGGCCGAGTTTGAGGCTGAACACGAGGTCGGGGAGCAACAGCCGGGCGAAGAAGACGCTTTCGGTGGCGTTTGCCGTCTCGCCGCAGTCGAGCAGTGCGGGGGGGAAGACGCCGTTGGAGGATGATGATAGCGGGAGGTCGTCTTCGCAGAGGAGGGGGACGCCGGGGACGCCGCAGAGTGAAGGGGGGTGGGACTCGGAGGAGAAGGACAGCAAGATTAGCAGGAGGAAGTCGTTCATCGAGAAGGACGTGTGGGCCAATCGTCCTCCGACGGACGCGCTGGTTAACAACCTGGAGGATTTCTTTCCCGACCTGGATGTTGACCAGCCGGTGCTGGAGGAGGGGGTGGATCAGGAGCCGCCGTCGCCCATTGCGGAAGGGGATGAGAACAATCAGGGGAGCGCTTCGGTGCCGCCGTTGCCGCCGCTGCCGCCGGGGTTGTCGACTGGGAAGTTGCACACTTTTTACAATGACAACGACACCTTGGGATCGGATGAGTCGACGCTCAAGGCACTTGAGTCGAGGCCTGTGTCGATGCAGTCGCTCGCGCATAGGAGCATCAGGCGGTCGGGAGGGGGCGGCGGGTTGGGGAGGATGAAGTCTATCCGTGAGGTGGCCAGGGGGGCGAACGAGTTTGGCAAACGGTACACCCAGGGCCCTGGCCAAATCGACGCTCAGAGCTCCGCCGCCGCCGCGGGGAATAGAAACACCAACCTGATGAGGAGGAAGAGCACAAAAATGTTCAACGCCAACATCGTCCAGATCCAACCCGACAGGGGGTCCCTCAACCTCGCCATGGGAGGGCTGACCACCATCCCCCAAGACAGCCTCCCGACCCGGTCCACCAACAGCAGGGAGAGCATCCCCAAACGCCAGACCACCTTCCGCTGGTTCAAAGGTCAGCTCATCGGCAAGGGAACCTTTGGCAGAGTTTACTTGGGCATGAACGCCACGACGGGCGAGTTCCTCGCCGTCAAGGAAGTAGAAGTCAACCCCAAGGCCGCCCAGGGCGACAAGAAAAAGATGCAGGAGCTGGTCGCCGCGCTGGACCAGGAGATCGACACGATGCAGCATTTGGATCACGTCAACATTGTGCAGTACCTCGGCTGCGAGAGGAAAGAGACGTCGATCTCCATCTTTTTGGAGTACATCTCCGGCGGCAGCATCGGCTCCTGCCTGCGCAAGCATGGGAAATTCGAAGAACCCGTCGTCGCGTCTCTGACTCGGCAGACGCTGTCTGGGCTGGCGTACCTCCACAGAGAAGGCATCCTCCACCGCGACCTAAAGGCTGATAACATCCTTCTCGACCTGGACGGGACGTGCAAGATTTCGGACTTTGGGATTTCGAAAAAGACGGATAATATCTACGGCAACGACAAGACGAATTCGATGCAGGGGAGCGTGTTTTGGATGGCGCCCGAGGTTATCAGGAGCCAGGGGGAGGGGTACAGCGCCAAGGTTGATATTTGGAGCTTGGGGTGCGTGGTGCTGGAGATGTTTGCGGGGAGGAGGCCGTGGAGCAAGGAGGAGGCGGTGGGGGCGATTTACAAGATTGCCAACGGGGAGACGCCGCCTATTCCGGAGGATATCAGGGAGGTGATTAGCCCGGTGGCGATTGCGTTCATGTTGGATTGTTTTACTGTGTAAGTTTCTTTTTCTTCACAACGGCGCCGGGGGGGGAAGATGTGGTTTGCTGACAGTAAGAGAACAGGGTCTCGAGCGAACGTCCGACGGCTGATGTTTTGCTCAGCCAGCATCCATTCTGCGAGTTGGACCCAACGTATAGCTTTTTGGATACGGAGCTGTATGCCAAGATTGCGGGGAGGGTTAATGATTTGGGGAGGGGGCAGTAATGAAGGCAAGGGGAGGTAATGGATAAAGGGAGAGTCTTTGGTTTTGGGAGGGAGACGAGCAAGCGTTTGAGCGTTTGTTACACACACATAGATATATACACACACATACATACAGGCATGGCATGTACAAGAGGAGGGGAGGGGCAAGCATAAGATAGCTTTGTTGTTATATAACTTTTTAGGTAGGAAGAAATGGAAGGTTTGTTGGAGGGGATATCACGATGTATTGGTAAAGTTCAGAAACAAAGAGAGCGTCTTTCTATTTCAAGCAGTTCTCTTACTTGCTTGACAACATCATGATAAAAATCAACAATCCACAAAAAAAAAAAAAAAAACCCATCAAACGCCATTTTATCCCTTTGCTTAACTTGATGAAAAACCCCCAGGATCCAAAATCATATACATTTATATAATATATATCTCCATCTCCCCCTCTACGTCGGCCTCCTAAAAGGATGCGCCTCCGTATTCAAAACCCACTCATCCAAACTCACCACCTCGGGCTCCGCAAACAACAGATAAAAATACTTCAGCGTCTCCGCCAGCCAGAAACTCTCCATACTATCATCCATCCCGCCCGCGTCACCCTTGGCAGTGACGTCCCTTATTGCTGAATGTCCCACCTCTGTCTGCGTGTGTTTAATCACAGACTCAAACATTTTCCATCCCTTTTCTTGCCACTTGGGATCGCCTGTGATGCGGTACATGTACCAGACCGACTCGATTGCTTCGGGGCTAAGTAAGGGATACAGAGTTAGTATGGGATGATGGGGAAAGAAAACAAACAGAAAAAAGAAAAGAAAAAAAAACATACCGGAGGATGTAGCGTTTATCGCTCAAAGAGGTGAAGCCGGGGGGGATGATCTCATTCTTCAGGCGGTCGGCAATGTACTCTTCGTGAGTCATTGGTTTGATTGGCTCCGGGGGTAGGGTCAACTCCGTAAGGGGGATTTGGCTGTCGTCGTCGTCCGAGTAGGTTGTTGCCCAGTCATCATCATTGGTGTTGGTGTTTGTGACGGGGGCAGAGTTCAGATCCAGGCTGTTTTGCAAGTCCGCTCCTCTAGGCTCGTTAAATGTTCCATTCAACTGGCGGCGTTGGAAGCGAGAGGGGAACGACCCCTCCCGTGCTTGGGGCTTTTCCTCTTGCTGCTGCTGCTGCTGCTGCTGTTGTACCGGCTGCTTAGGCTCAGTCTTCTGGTCAGACCCAGCACCAGTGTCAGAATTGGCGTTGCTCTTAGCCACCGGCCGTCTCGCCGCCTCCTCCTTTGCCTTCTCCACCCTCTCCTTCTGCAGCGCCTGCTCCTTCTTAATCTCCTCCACCTGCTCCTTCCAAGCAGCCTTGCTCTCGTAATACCTCTCCATCTCCTGCGCCCGATACGAAGCCCTATAGTCCAACTGCTCATGCCACGCCGTCTCGTTAAACTTGCAATCCGTCGCCGACTTGCAAGGCATAATCTTGGCGTACTCAGGCATGATACCCGTGGGCATAACATCGTAGGCCCAGAAGCAACCCTCCGCAAGCTTCTTCCCAATCTCGACATCCTCCGGACTCTCAAAGATCTTTCCCCCAAGTCCAAACATGCCACCCAGAAAGCAAGTCAAGTGAGTAATCTCCCACTCATAGTCCAAGCTGTCGGCCGTCCCATCTTTGCTCGTCGCCTTGGCCGAAAACAAAATATCCGGATCACCCTTCGCCATCGGCCTAAACAAGAGATGCTTCTTCACCGCCGCCACAGTCTTCTCATGCATGGTCTTGTACTTCGGCACCAGCCCCCCCAGCAGCAAATACTGTTTAGGAAAGTACTCATACGCCGAATCCTGACTCCCGCCCATCCCGTACGACCCCCAAGCATTCGAACTCACCAGCCCCTGAGGAGCACACTCAAACCCGTCCGGCAACTTTTTCTTCCCCGGCCTTCCCGGCGTCATTTGATCCCTCCCCCCAACCCCATCATCCCCCCTGACAACCTCCTCCCTCCTCTGCACCTTAACCCCCGTCCCCCCAACAACCCCCAACCCATCAACCCCCACCACCCCAAGATCAACCCTCCCATCCTCCCTCTCCTGCTGATCAACCGGCGGCCAAGGCGCACTCCTATTGCACCCACTGGCATCCAAATGCTCCGGGAAAATCCCCTCAATCGCACTCCTCCCCCTTCCCTTCCAATTCTGCAACTCCTCAAACGCGTCCGTAATCCTAGCCACAGCATCATAATACTTGTTCTCCCCCGTCAACTGCGCCAACCTCGTAAACTCCATGCTCATGCTCCCCAGCTCCGCCACGCCCGCGTTCTGCGCCGCCCGTTTCGGCGCAATGTTGTACGCCGGGTGCCACTGGTAATACAAGATCGGCAGCCTGTTGGGCGTGTCAAAGACGCTCATCAAGATCTCGGCCAGCTCCTCCGCCTTGTCCAGCAGCACTTTGTATTCCTTCTTCATGCCCGAGATGTCATACGCCGCAATCAACCCCCCCAGGTAACGGATTATCGTTTCAAAAACGGGAATGTCCGTTCGGTAAGGTGTGGTGGTGAAATCGA